GTGTCCAGCTGCATACAAATGGGCTTTGGGTCTCCACTCTGCACTGCCCCTCATTCACAATGATATGATTTTTTTGTTCTTTGATGCCTGATACCTGGTCCCTTCTACACCTCGTGATCACACAGGCTGTGTGCTTCTTCCATGTGGGCTTTGTTGCTTCTGAGCTAGATGACTGCTTGTTTATGGCCAATACGATTTTTATTGTCTTCCATTGAGACTTCTCATTCTTCTTACATTTCATCTTGATTTCTTCTCTCTTGAGTTATTTTTTTTAAGTTTTTTTATTTTTTTTTTTTTTCATTTCCCGGGGGTTTTTTTTTTGGCCGGAATTTTTTTTAAAGGTTCGTTGGCTTGTTTTTTAGGAATTGTTAGTTGTTTGTTGGGTTTTCCCTTTTTGGGGAATTCTTTGGAGTAATGGTGGTTTCTTCTAAAGAAAAAGTATTCTTTAAGAGGTACTTCCTTCCTTTGAGAAGAAGATGAGAGTAAATATATTTTCTGGCAGAAAATAAAAGAATTGGATATTGAATCAGAATAGTGTTGGAAATGCAAGAAATCTTGAAATCAACTAAAGTAAACTTCCATTTTTCCAGTTACGGAAAATGGAGAACAGAAAACGTAATTTTTAAAAAAGTTGTTTAAGAGCGCATACCAGACTGTGGTGGAGCTCCACAGTTTTGCTTGGGAGCATGTTCCACTACATTATGACATCCTCTAGTACGTTATATCAGGTCCAACAGCTAATGTTTTCCAAACAGTTAAAATTTTTTAATTAATTTGCCAATGAAAACTCACTTCTAGGTCCATGAAATTGATGAGGGACAATTAGTAGTTGGGAACACTGCCTAATTTCAACTACAGCTGTATTATTTTATATAGATTTTTTTTTACATGTACTAGATTGGAGCTACTAAAGGAAATGGACAATAAATAGAATTTTCACACTAAGTGGAATCAGTTTATTGGACATTAAGAATCATCAAAAGAATTATATCTTATCTGAACTCATTAAGAGTATTTATTTTTACTGAAATTTTGAATTAACTTATTTCTTAGAATTAAACCTGAGCATGCTGTTTTAAAAGTCATGGATTGGTGTCAAATTGTAAGAAAACAGAGGGTGCCATGAGTGGGCACTCCCATAAGTTTTGTTATTATTAGAGGACTTTTTGAGAAATCAAAACTAGGATTGAAAACTAAAACTAATTGTGATGAGATTCAAAATTAATTGTCACTTATTTAATATATATTAGGTATGAATATTCATATAGGAGTGGTAGTTCATCTCATTTTAGCTTGGTGGCCCTTAAAATTTCCTTTACCTACCCCGCAACCATGTGAAACTATTATTTAAAACCCACATGCATTCGTATTTATATATGTATATGCTTTTATACTGTAACATGTAAACATAAAAACAATTATACTTGATATTAGAACTTATTTTCCAAAACAATGACATCTCACACATAACAGATTGGCTAGTAAATAGACAGAGACTTGTAAACCATCTGTTACAAAGATTTTGGTATCAAAAAGATTTAACTCTATATAAACCAGTCAAGCATGGGCGGGGGTGTGGGGTGTGGGGTGTGGTCTAGACTCTTTGCCAGCACCTGAAATAATTTGTAGTGTTGGAATGAATGTTATCATAGTATTTGTGAAGCAATAGATACCCCATTACGTCCATTTTGGAAAATGCCTCTCTGCTCTTCTTTTTAGCTCAGCAAATAACTAAAATCATATACATAATTTTCATTTAGGTATGCCTATCAGTGATTCAGTACAGCTTGACTGCTGGTTTTCATAGTTCAGCACTTCCTTTTACAATAGCCCTCACTTTGACTGACAGCCAAGCAAGAAAATGAATTCCACATGGCTCTGTTCAACCTAATTATGTCAGAAGTAGCTGATCTTCCTGCAAGTTCTCTTGCATGGAAGTTTAAACTGCACATATCTCCATGCAGCTCTTCATATGTTTGCTAATTTCACTCAACAGATAGTAAACCCCGTGTTAAACACAGAACTCCACACATACAGTGCTATCTACTCATTAGCAGATAAATAATAAGCAAAAAGCAACATGTCTACGTTCAACGTTTGTAGCAATCGGAGGCAAGGTGCTAACATAAATAGGGAATATAAACACGAATGCTCGACAGTGAAGTTAAGCATTGGTTCAGGGGGGCAGAATTAGAATAAGAGACTCATTCTGCTGCTGTATTTAGTGATGGTGGAAAAAGGAAGATTAAGAAAAACTGAAAAATAAGCAAACTTACTGCCATTGATTTCAATTCAACGGACAGAGTAAAACTATCACTGTGGGTTTTCAAGGCTATAAATCTTTATGGGAGAAGAAAGCCTCATCTTTCTCCCAAGAGAAGATTTGGAAAAGCTCAGTTAATAAAAACAATTTCATTGTGATTTTAAGATAATATTGACAATACAATATTTCTTTGAATTAATGGTAGCCTTTGAAAGTATTAACTGGGGAAAAGAGATGTTATATATATTTTTCAACATTGAAAGTAGGACACCTCAATTTCACAAATTAAAAAATAGTAAATAAAAAAGCTTCTCCCATAATTAAGAAAATATAATAACAATAGTTTCTTTGAACTGCATGTTTAATGCATTCGGGACATTGTGTGAAAGGTCTTAGACACCACTATTTCATTTAATTCCTACGGTAGAGAGAATCTACTGCTATCTCATATAATCCATCTAATGGTGGAAATAGTAGGTAGTTTATACATCTTTCCTCAGCTAATAAATGGATCAGTGTATCGCATGCGACCTTGTATCTCTATCTCCAGTTCTGGTTCTTGCCAATGAGTCTACATTGCCTCCAATTATTTATTGAACATTTTCTATGGGACAGTGTAAGATTTTCTTTTTCTGTTTTTGGGAGAAATAGGACAATTCAATGCTGGCTCCTTGGATTTATAGATAACTTTCAAATGATGGGAAGACAGGCATTTTTCCCCCCATGCATTGGTACTGTAAAACATGGTAACAGAACAGATGTGGTGGTGCCCTGCCTCTGGTGGTGTCATGTGACCTAATGTTCAGTCTCAGTAGCTGAAACCCTCAGGGGAAGTGTGTGTGGTAGTTACAGGATTTCATGTTAGCTTGAAGATATATAAAAGTGGAGGGGTGATATTCAACCCAACAATCAGATCACAGCCTGATGTTGCATGGCCTTCTCCTAAGGAAGACCCAGGGAACCCCCTCCTCTCTTCCTTCCCCTTTCTGCTTGACTTACCTGATTGCTGCCAGAGCCACCGCCATTGGAGCCACAGGACTGAACCCACCACCTGTGAGCTCCCTGCCTTCTGCTTCATTGCTTGTGACTGCATGAGTCTGAAGATGAACTTGTGGACTAGTCTTGGACTTATGAACTGGGCTGGGGCGTTTCTAATTACTTCTTGACATAGAGTGATTCTGACTCAGGGTGACCCAGGTGTTGCAGAGTAGAACTATGCCCCATGGGAGGTGTGTGGCTATTACCTTTTGGAAGTAGATCATCGAGCCTTTCTTCTGAGCCCCTTCTGGGTGGGTTTGAACCTGCCAGCTTAACCATTTGTACTGTCCATAGGCACCTGTAATTGGATCAAGAGGTTGTGTGACACCAACAGAACAAGGGAATACGGCTTAGTTTAAAATCCGGAAAGGCGCTCAGTCTGTATGCTGAGCAACTAATCAGAGTTGATTGCAGGAAGAAGAAAGCACTGTTAGATTTGGAGGGAGGCTTGTTAACAACCTGTGACGTAATTCAGATGACAGGACCTGGCTTGATGAAAGTACCAAAGACGTAAAACACTTGCTGATAAAAATTAGGAATTACAGCTCAATGTGGACAAAACCAGAATCCTCACAACTGAACAAGTAATTACCAACAACTAGTAGGTAACACCTAATAGCTAGAGAAGAGATTGAAGCTGTCAAGGATGTTGTCTTGCTGGATCTACAATCAGTGCTCATGGAAGCAGCAGGCAAAATATTCAAAGATGAGTTGCATTAGGTAAATCCTGCCTTTCTTGTTTTCTTTCTCCCTTCTTTTTTTAACCCTCTGAACATTGTCTCTGGGTAAATGTGACCCTTTTGATATTAAATGGTTAATTATCTTTTTTTTTTTTAAATTGAAGAAGAGCTCCCTTCTCAAAACAGAGTCTACCTTAATGGCATAGGGGACACAAAGACAATGGAAGAAGTGATGAAGATTAGGAGCTGAAGAAAAAAAATGCAAAGGTTGGCTTGAGAAGACAAAGTAAAGCATTTTGATGCTATGTGCAAAGAGCTGAGATTAGCAAATCAACAGGGAAGAGCACATTCAACATCAGTCAAACGGAAAGAACTACAGAAAAAATGAAAGTCTTTGGTTGTTTGAAGAACTGAATATTGAGGGGGGAGAAAACGAGGAGCTGATACCAAGGGCTCAAGCAGAAAGCAAATGCTTTGAGAATGATGATGGCAACAAATGTACAAATGTGCTT